GTAGCTAATTTCAATAAACTCTCTAGTTGACTTCTATTTGCCAGCAACTTATATATTGCTATGCAACATAGTTCCCCATTTCACCATGTTGTTTTACCTGGGAGCTGAACGACGACATCAGCGCTGCATCTGCAGTATTCGCCCTCGAATTCACTACATCATGAATCTAACAGAATACAAATCTAGTCTCTATTGTGTCACAAAATGTACAATAAACACATAATGGGAGTAGCATAGAGAATAGTCAGAAGAATACTGTTGTAATTATTGTCAAGTAAGTTTACCATTCGAATAATGACAATAATAATAATAATAATAATAATAATTTCTAAAGAAAGAAAAGCATTACTGGTGATCGGGCCAGTAACAAACATTATCACATAGTCCGTGGGGTGGAAATAATTTTCTTAGTTTTTAAGAGAAAGAAGTACCAATAAATATTCCCCTATGAAGGTTTACATTCTGAAAAGTACATTTTTGCACTGAAGAACAGTTCTTGAAGGTTTCACTCTATCACCAGATGCCTCACTTATTCTGCAGAGCATCAAGTTGCGCCTTAAGTTCAGTGACTTGTGTCGACAAACGCGAATTCTCGTCCTTGAGGAAACGTAATTCACTTTTCAGGTTGAGTTGAGTATGGCTAAGTTCTGTTATCTAAGCTCGTTCAGTAGAGGATAGATAACAGAACTTAGCCATAACCAACTCAACCTGAAAAGTGAATTACGTTTCCTCAAGGACGAGAATTCGCGTTTGTCTACACAAGTCACTGAACTTAAGGCGCAACTTGATGCTCTGCAGAATAAGTGAGGCATCTGGTGATAGAGTGAAACCTTCAAGAACTGTTCTTCAGTGCAAAAATGTACTTTTCAGAATGTAAACCTTCATAGGGGAATATTTATTGGTACTTCTTTCTCTTAAAAACTAAGAAAATTATTTCCACCCCACGGACTATGTGATAATGTTTGTTACTGGCCCGATCACCAGTAATGCTTTTCTTTCTTTAGAAATTATTATTATTATTATTATTGTCATTATTCGAATGGTAAACTTACTTGACAATAATTACAACAGTATTCTTCTGACTATTCTCTATGCTACTCCCATTATGTGTTTATTGTACATTTTGTGACACAATAGAGACTAGATTTCTATTCTGTGTGATGAAATGCTTGTCAATTTCAAAGTTAGAATAGAGTCATGATGTAGTGAATTCGAGGGCGAATACTGCAGATGCAGCGCTGATGTCGTCGTTCAGCTCCCAGGTAAAACAACATGGTGAAATGAGGAACTATGTTACAAAATATTGCTAATTATATTAGAGGGCGAACATTTTAAGGTCATTTATAATTTACAAGTAAAGACGCAAGCTTTGCAGGCATATTATTCAAGCGTCATCTTAATTCTTTGATTTTCTCATTCTGTTTAACGACCGTTTGTTCGACAAGTATGCGTTCTTTATCAACCTGAAATTTATTTAAACACAGGTTGATTCTCTGTAAATATTATTATATTTCAATGTTATACTGACATTCAGTCAGACATACTTCCTTCGATCCGCAACAATTTGTGTCGACAAAATAGCACACATTTTAAATAGCGACACAAAATATCGCTCTAAATATCCCTATAATATAATCAGAACAAGATGATTTTTGCGTGAACAACTAATTTCAACAACTTCAGGCTATACAGTAATATATCCATGAATATTAGAATACAAATAGCCAGTAAATGCACTAATAATAATAATAATAATAATAATAATAATAATAGCTTTATTCCAAACAGTATTTGTGGTACAGGTATGGAATTTTCAGCGTGCATTACAATATTGCATCTAATTACCTCATTAATTTTTATAAGATTTTAAAAATAAAAAGCAACAACAACAAAAAGAAAAAAGATAAATAAAAGAAATAAAAAAAGAACAGCATTGCATTCACATATTTAAACAATGCACCACAGGATATGAAATATAAAATTAGTGTGTAATAGAATATGTGAGCAACAATATAATAGTAACAAAGAGAGGAGAACAAAAGCTAATGGGAACTATTTGTTAGAGTGCCGCAGTAAGTTGATCGTGTCATGCCTAACGGATTTCTCATCACATAACAGCTGTGCCAGATAAGGTATTGTGGAGTTTTTGTACTTGGTAGTCCTGGCATATAGCCAAAATCCCAACCAATAATAAAAATTTTATTCTAAAAATTAATGATTATGCATCATCATTTTACCTTACTAGTTGACTCACTGTTCATATTTAGTACCTCAAGTTAATATCTGACACATTCCGTAATGAAACATTTATATGCATATGTCGTAAGGATCAATTTCAAATCATAAATAAGTTGCAACTGCTGAAGTAGCTAATTTCAATAAACTCTCTAGTTGACTTCTATTTGCCAGCAACTTATATATTGCTATGCAACATAGTTCCTCATTTCACCATGTTGTTTTACCTGGGAGCTGAACGACGACATCAGCGCTGCATCTGCAGTATTCGCCCTCGAATTCACTACATCATGAATCTAACAGAATACAAATCTAGTCTCTATTGTGTCACAAAATGTACAATAAACACATAATGGGAGTAGCATAGAGAATAGTCAGAAGAATACTGTTGTAATTATTGTCAAGTAAGTTTACCATTCGAATAATGACAATAATAATAATAATAATAATAATTTCTAAAGAAAGAAAAGCATTACTGGTGATCGGGCCAGTAACAAACATTATCACATAGTCCGTGGGGTGGAAATAATTTTCTTAGTTTTTAAGAGAAAGAAGTACCAATAAATATTCCCCTATGAAGGTTTACATTCTGAAAAGTACATTTTTGCACTGAAGAACAGTTCTTGAAGGTTTCACTCTATCACCAGATGCCTCACTTATTCTGCAGAGCATCAAGTTGCGCCTTAAGTTCAGTGACTTGTGTCGACAAACGCGAATTCTCGTCCTTGAGGAAACGTAATTCACTTTTCAGGTTGAGTTGAGTATGGCTAAGTTCTGTTATCTAAGCTCGTTCAGTAGAGGATAGATAACAGAACTTAGCCATAACCAACTCAACCTGAAAAGTGAATTACGTTTCCTCAAGGACGAGAATTCGCGTTTGTCGACACAAGTCACTGAACTTAAGGCGCAACTTGATGCTCTGCAGAATAAGTGAGGCATCTGGTGATAGAGTGAAACCTTCAAGAACTGTTCTTCAGTGCAAAAATGTACTTTTCAGAATGTAAACCTTCATAGGGGAATATTTATTGGTACTTCTTTCTCTTAAAAACTAAGAAAATTATTTCCACCCCACGGACTATGTGATAATGTTTGTTACTGGCCCGATCACCAGTAATGCTTTTCTTTCTTTAGAAATTATTATTATTATTATTATTATTGTCATTATTCGAATGGTAAACTTACTTGACAATAATTACAACAGTATTCTTCTGACTATTCTCTATGCTACTCCCATTATGTGTTTATTGTACATTTTGTGACACAATAGAGACTAGATTTCTATTCTGTGTGATGAAATGCTTGTCAATTTCAAAGTTAGAATAGAGTCATGATGTAGTGAATTCGAGGGCGAATACTGCAGATGCAGCGCTGATGTCGTCGTTCAGCTCCCAGGTAAAACAACATGGTGAAATGAGGAACTATGTTACAAAATATTGCTAATTATATTAGAGGGCGAACATTTTAAGGTCATTTATAATTTACAAGTAAAGACGCAAGCTTTGCAGGCATATTATTCAAGCGTCATCTTAATTCTTTGATTTTCTCATTCTGTTTAACGACCGTTTGTTCGACAAGTATGCGTTCTTTATCAACCTGAAATTTATTTAAACACAGGTTGATTCTCTGTAAATATTATTATATTTCAATGTTATACTGACATTCAGTCAGACATACTTCCTTCGATCCGCAACAATTTGTGTCGACAAAATAGCACACATTTTAAATAGCGACACAAAATATCGCTCTAAATATCCCTATAATATAATCAGAACAAGATGATTTTTGCGTGAACAACTAATTTCAACAACTTCAGGCTATACAGTAATATATCCATGAATATTAGAATACAAATAGCCAGTAAATGCACTTATAATAAAAACAATAATAATAATAATAATAGCTTTATTCCAAACAGTATTTGTGGTACAGGTATGGAATTTTCAGCGTGCATTACAATATTGCATCTAATTACCTCATTAATTTTTATAAGATTTTAAAAATAAAAATGTAGTGTGGCATCACCTTACATTTGACAGGGACGAATCCCATGTCAAACATGCTGTGATTTCTGCTCGATCTATCGAGAGGAGTGGGTTGTGTCAGTGTCTTTACTTCGAAAGTCTGTATCGTCTGAATAGACTTTTTTAACAGTAAACAAAAATATGTTCACCTTTCCATCTATGTAGATATAAAAAATAGGCAGAATCTAGATTTACGAGTTGATGACGAATTGATAGAAGTTAGAGCTCATGAGCCATTGAATCGCGTCCCAGTGGCTGAGTGGTATACGAGCTTGCCTTGTAACCGGAAGGTCCTGGATTCGAACCCCAATGGGTGCGTACTGCCGATGATTCCCAAAGTAGGATGAAACAGCTCTCCAGTACTCCCTGGTTTTCAATGTTTGTCTAACTGATATCAATCCGTAATCAACTCGTAAATCTAGATTCTGCCTATTTTTTATATCTACATAGATGGAAAGGTGAACATATTTTTGTTTACTGTTAAAAAAGTGTATTCAGATGATACGGACCTTCGAAGTAAAGACACTGACACAACGCACTCCTCTGGATACCTCGAGCAGAAATCACAGCATGTTTGACATGGGATTCGTCCCTGTCAAATGTAAGGCGATGCTACACTACTCCTCTGTACTCCTTCTCCTACTTTAAGGATAGAGTGAAACGGCTTAGAGCTGACTTCACTTCATAGGAGGCTTTTATATATATATATATATATATATATATATATATATATACGCGATGCGCATACTATACACTTTAAAATTACTCACTCGTACCTTTAACTACTGCTTTAATTCATCTTTATAACTCTGTAAACAACAAAAGTCCTCTTCTAATTCTTCGATACATCGACACAATCGCGATGTATTCATTTGTGCAGTTATTTTCATTTCGGATTGTTCATTTTCTAATCGTTTAACTTCATTTAACGCTCCAGTGTTAGAATCCTGAAAAAGAATGCAAGCATTTCTAAGAGTTGAATTTTACACAACCTAATACAGCGATAATCGTGATAAACTAACCCATAATGAAACAGTATTGTTTGCTGATTAGATGTTAAACACAACTCCTATATATTCAATAACGAAGCCAAACTGCATAGTAACCCTTTACACATAAGAAAGAAATACACCAATAATCCTTCACAAAACTGGGAAGAATGAACATCTACAATCGGGAACCCATTTTTTAGTGACCAAATTATCGAAAACTATCACCAACAAAACGATGAGGCGGGAAAAGTAGTTAGACAATGAGAGGAAACGATTGGCAAGCCTATATGGTTTGAAATTATACCAAAATCGCGTATTACACATTGGATAGACTGTGTGACAATACTACATAGAGAAACCTATCCCATCAGAGCGATTTTGGATTTCACAAACACACCAATGCATATCTCGTCAAGATTCCTGGTCGCTATACTGAAACCAAGACAACTCAACACCAGGAATGTTAGACTCATTTGGATTAGTTAAACCCATTAAAGGTCATAAATCCGATAAAATAATAGACAGCCTGAATACAAAAGCACCCACAAAACGGCTACAGTTGCACTGAAAATAAGACTAAATAAAGGTGATGATCTAAAAGGCAGAACAAACTTATTGGTAGGAGATACTGAAAGAGGCGGTATTCTTTGCAATACAAGGATCCATAAGAAACAACAACAAAGAGAGAGAAGTGATACGATGACAACTATAAGATGACTGCCAACGAACCGGACTTCAATGTGATAACTCTGTTCACAAATACTGACATTGCTCTAAATAGTTCCCAAAGGTAGACAGCTTTCTACTCTATGTGATCCTCTACGTTCCAGGAATACTCATTATATTCCACTTAATAACCTTTCCACAAACTTTATATGCTCTTACAAAGTGTGACAACTTGAATTGGTTCAATTTTATGCAAAGTTCTACGCTTATAATTCTCTGAATTGACTACTGTAACACTGTAGTGTTTATGAGTTAATCAAACATTCACCGATCAAGTGAGAATACTGAGGGCCCGCAATAAAGGCTTTATTCGTTTTATAATTCCAGTATAGAATCTGGTTTAAACAAAAATGAAAGATGTGAATAGTGTATAATATAAATGCTAAACGTTTATGAAAATGTTCACACCACATTCTTCTCCCCTTTTGTTTGAGAATACAGAGCATAAGGAGTCAAGACTTTTAAAACTGTTTAGACTTCGCGGCTTCTCAGATTGTATGGACGAACCCTTCGTTGTTTCTCTAGTAAAGAAGATGGGTTCGGATCAATTTTGACATTTTCACTTAAATTGTCCGTCAAAATAGGAGTTTCAGTATCTGTAGAACGGGTCGATATGTCGTCTTCAGTAAGTTGATTTTGGAGGCATTCTGGTACTGCGTCTGGAATCGGCATGCTAACGGGCGATTGAAATATATGTTCTTTTGGTGCAAGATGATGAATAGATACTGTTTCCTCACGTCCATCTGGAAGTCTCACATGAGCATACTTGGGATTACATTCAATCAGTTCAACTTCATCAACTGGAGATTCATATTTAGAACGTACATTACGGCGCATCAAGACCGGTCCAGGAATAGTTAACCAACTGGGAAGAGAAACACCAGACGTTGATTTTCGATTGTACCTGAACATCCGTTCGTGTGGAGTAGTATTTGTGGCAGTACATAAAAGAGAACGGATAGAATGAAGAGCATCGGGGAGAACAACCTCCCACTCACAGATTGGTATGGACCTAGATTTAGCAGCTAGTGATATACATCGCCAGAGAGTGCCGTTGAGACGTTCAATCTGTCCATTTGATTGGGGGTTGTATGCTGTTGTTCTACTGGTAACTATTCCTTTATCGTGGAGAAAATGTTTTAATTCTGCAGACATAAACGACGATCCTCTGTCTGAATGTATGTAGGATGGCATACCAAACAGGGAAAACAACTGGCACAGGCAATTAATAACAGTTGATGCTGTCATATCCTGGCAAGGAAAAGCGAACGGAAATCTAGAGTACTCATCAATTATCGTAAGAAGATATTTGTTCCGGGAGTTTGAAGGAAGAGGTCCTTTGAAATCAATATTTAGACGTTCAAAAGGAGAAGTCGCTTTAATAAGATTTCCTGTGGATACTTTGCAAAACCTGGGTTTCAGCTCAGCACAAACTGCACAACTAGATATCGTCTTCTTCACATCATCAACAGAAAAAGGTAGGTTCTTAGAACGCACAAAGTGAAGAAGGCGAACAACTCCTGGATGGCACAGAGAGTTATGTAGGTCTTTGAGATTAGTTTCACCCATGACAGAAGCAGAATATCCGCGAGATAATGCATCGGCGACTTTGTTTTCTTTGCCACAACGGTAGATTATATCAAAACTGTAACAAGAAAGTTCTATTCGCCAACGCTGAATCTTGTCATTCTTTATTTCCCCATGGTGGTTCATATCGTACATGAAAGAAACTGATCGTTGGTCTGTAATGAGTTGGAAATGAGTACCAAGTAAATAATGACGCCATTTTCTAATAGCTTCGACGATGGCATAAGCTTCTTTCTCCACCGCTGAGTGATGCCGTTCACTTGGTGATAGTGTTCTGGAAAAAAATGCAACGGGTCTACCATTTTGTGTTAACGTAGCAGCTATAGCAGTATCCGAAGCGTCGGTTTCCACTATAAGGGGCAAGTCGAGATCCACAGTAGTCATCACAGATTGAGCAAGCCCATTTTTTAATGCTGCATATGAGCTTACAATAGTACCTGGTAATGGAAAGATTTTATTTTGTATAAGGGGTTGAATTTTATCGGAGAAATGAGATATCCATTGTGAATAATACGCAAAGAGACCAATGACTCGCTGTTGGGATTTAAGATCTCGTGGAGGTGATAAATTCCATAATGCTTGAAGTCTATCGGGATCAGGTTTGATCATTTTATGAGAAACTTCATAGCCTAGAAGTTTTACTTGTTTAACGCCAATAACACTTTTATTCTCATTGAATGTTAGCCCATATTTTCTGGATGCTTCATAGAACCGGGCAAGATTTTTTGCATGTTGTTCTGTGTTTTCACCACAAATAGTTATATTATCTAAATAAGCAAATGTAGCTTGAAGATTTTCATTTCTGATAATCTGACTGATAACTCTCTGAAAACACGAAACACCGTTTGTGACACCAAAGGGAATACGACGGAACTGATAGAGGTTGCCGCAAGCTTCAAAAGCTGTGAAGAGTTTCTCTTCTTCTTTGATGGGTATTTGATGGTAAGCACTCTTTAAATCCAAAGTGCTAAATACAGTATATTTTGAAATCTTTTCAATCATCTCATCAATTTTTGGGAGTGGATAGGCATCCAATAATGTGAAACGATTTATCGTTTGGCTGTAATCAATCACCATTCTACGCTTGTGGCGTTCATTAGTAGTGACCAAAACTTGGGCGCGCCAAGGGGAGTTAGATGGCTCGATGATCTGCTCACTGAGTAAATTTTTGATTTCCAGCTTGATAAAATGTTCATCTGAAGTGGAATGTCTTCGTGATTTTGTAGCGATCGGAACACATTTGGGTGTTAGGTTATGAAACAAGGGAGGTGGATCAATATGTGCAGCAACAAGATTACACAGTGAAAATGGATTGTTTTTACCTTCAAATGGAATTTCGAGTTTATTATGCAAGCGTAAAAAATCATGACCTAATAGCACATCAGCACACAGATTTGGCAACACTGAAAGTTTGATATGTGAGTAACTCGAGTCTTTATAACGTAGATTTACATAACAGTGACCATGAGTATGAGTTGTCAGACTTGTGGAAGCCATTGTGATTGAAGTGCGAGAATGCTCTACCTTTATATGTTGTTTTTGAACGACTGCACATGAAATATAACTGTCTGAGCTCCCAGTATCTACGAGGGCTTGTAGGGGAATGTCATTTACAAAAAGCTGCACAACCGCATTGGAAAGAGACTGTGGAGCGGCGGCTAGAGTCATGGAAGACAACAAAGAACTAGTAACTGATGTAGTTTTGGTGTACGATTTTGACCGGCAGACCTTCTGATAATGCCCCTTCTTACCACAGAGTTTGCATACTGCATCCCTTGCAGGACATTTAGAGCGAGGATGTCTAGTAGATCCACAGAAGTAGCATTTCTCATTTATTGAAGCAGTCAATCCTGTTTCACCCACATAAGAGTTTAGTTCATTTGATGTATCACTGTTTGATATTGCAGCAGAATTGGAGAATTCGGAAGGATGAAACGAATGTGATTGTTGATAAGCCATTTCTAGGGATCGAGCTTGTTCATAAGCAGTATCAAGATCAAGTAATTTGTTTTCCAGAAGACGTTGTCGTATATTATTAGATTGCATTCCACTTATGAATGCGTCACGTATTGCATCATTCTGATTTTGTTCAGCCGAGACAGGTTTGAATGAACAATCTTTTGCCAGAGATTTCAGTTTTTGTAAAAATTGGTCGAGGCTCTGTCCAGTTTCTTGTTTGCATGTGGATAATAGATGTCGAGCAAAAATCTCGTTCTTTGGTTTGACATACAGTTTCTCAAGAGTACTAAGAGCGCCGTCAAATGTTTTACATTCAGCAATGTATTCATATACAGTAGGTGAGATATAGTTGATGAGAACATCAAGTTTGTCTGAATCTGGAGTTGAAGATTTAGTGATAAAAGTATTGAATGTACGAAACCAATGATTCCAAATCTTCGAAGATGTTTGGCAATTGGAATCAGCATCAAAGCGTTCGGGACGTAATATCTTGTCCATAATAAAACGAATAAATTGTAGTGTTTATGAGTTAATCAAACATTCACCGATCAAGTGAGAATACTGAGGGCCCGCAATAAAGGCTTTATTCGTTTTATAATTCCAGTATAGAATCTGGTTTAAACAAAAATGAAAGATGTGAATAGTGTATAATATAAATGCTAAACGTTTATGAAAATGTTCACACCACAAACACTTCACAGACTCAGCATACAACATGAAAAGATGAGTGATGAGACACCTTTGTGGAATGCCCTACATTGGTTTACCTAACTGTCACGTTGAAGCGACAGCATACACTGAAGCAGCAAATCCTAAACTGTAAAGACGCTCTCCTGCTTCTCAGTTCAAGTGAATCGAAATAAATGCCCCACCAGTTTGAAAGAAAACTATCACCAACTATCTAGACTTTAGTTCTGAATGGAGGAAGTCTCTCTTTTGATCTCATTCAAATGTTCAAAAATAAGCACAACAAATAAACTAACCATACAAATTTTGTTTACTTTATTTTTGCTAGCATATAATCGTTGTAACAGGTCAGTCTCCAAATTTTCGGCAGCGTTAAGCTTCTCAGCCAGACGGTTTTTCTTGCTTAATTTCCCTGACTGGCGATTATCAATATTCCAGAATTCTCCTGGACTTTTAAGTTTCAAACAAGCAATAAGTTCATTAAGACTTTGTATTTCATCAAGATACGCAATCTCCATTCTTTCTAGCACGCTCATTTTGGCTAATAACCTGTGATTCTCTTCTTCCAAGTCCTGTGTGATGGTGAGAACGGATTTAATACACATATATGTTGCGCAAATAAAGGAATTGTATAATAACAAGAAAACAACAAATACCATTCCAACAATCCCTTCAAAAAGGTTAATTTCAACTGTTTTTTTTGTGATGCGAAAAACTATACACGAGTGGACAAGCATGAAATAAGTAGAAGTACATTGATAAGTCATACACTGCAACCGGTTAAACTGCAATGATAACTCCAGCCAGCCAGAATAAACATATATATCTTCGGTTACAGGCGTAGTAAACACTCCTGGTGGCATCAAAAAGGTGATAACGGTTTAGAAATTCTTACCTCATAATCTATAACGCAGCAGGATGACTTTAGGTGAGAACAAGCGTCCTACTACACTGACAATATATGATTCACAACGCGACAACCACGTGATTCTCTTGAGATATCCGGAAATCTCTACTATCATACTCCCGGTTTGAAGTAACCTATCTAAACTTCATGCTAGCTCGTTAAGACCGTTATACTCAGGCGGTTTTGAGATGTTATTAATGATTCAATACTTGCACACTTTAAGCTATCTTAAACTATTTTGAACCAACTAATCTAAATCAGTCCACAACCACATGAAGGCTCGAGGATTACATCATATGGAATTTGTGAGTAAACTAGAAACTCTCCAGTTACAACAAAAGATTTCCACCTCGTCTGTCGATTATTTGCACTTGTGCTACTGTCGTTCAAGAGAAAAGTTGTAAAATAGAAGTGAACGCTAATCTTCTGAAGACTTGATGACTGCTGGATATGCAAAATATAGTCGCCACTGGAATAACAATATAAATGGATAGCGATCAACTGGTAATGTCAAGATTGTCTGTTTGATAAAACCTTATGCCTATATTCATGGTACAAAACAGTCTCAATGTTGATGGTGTACTGTCAGGGTCGAAAGCAGTACTGAGTGGAGTACCTTAGGGAATTGTACTTGGCCCCCTGCTATTCTTATTATGCGTAAATGAACTGCCGAAAATTCTTACCTCATCTTCCTTATTATTTCCGGACGATATTAAGATATGTAAAGCCGTAAACAGTAACGATGAAAGGTTGGTACTACAAAACAATCTAATAAGTTAGCTGAATGGGCTAACCTTTGGAGTCGGGAAACCAATTCCAAGAAAAGCGCGATAATGCAACTAGGTCAGAGGTCTTACGCGTCGTACTCCTTGTGGGAAAGAACTGCCAGATGTTAAAGAACAAAACGACTCAGGAATTATTGTAAGCCACGACATAAAAACAACGGCAAACTGTATTGGAGCCGCTGCTAAGGCTTTTCGAATGCTATGAGCACTCAGAAGGGCTTTAAAACCATTGGACGAGTGTACGTTCCAAGTACTTTATGCAACACATGTCAGACGTCATCTAGAATACTGCATACAAGCGGTGAATCCATGCTTCAGGAAGCAGGCACATATCCTGGAAAGAGTACGGAGGATAAGAACCAAATCAGTTAGTGGTATCTCACACCTTCCTTATGATAAGACGATGGAGCATTGAAATCTCTTCCCATTATCATACCGAAGGAAGAAAGGCGACTTAATTTTGGCATACCGCATATTAAAGGGTGATTCAGGGATCGACGTTTCAAATCTCTTCTCTCCCTCCAGGATTTTATCTTATGCATTTTTTACTTTTTATTATAGCTTGATTCCACACAGTACTTTTTGGTACAAGTATGGAATTTTCAGCATGTGATATCGGTAGCCCAAATTTCGCATGCCGACCATTGATATCGGGTGGGTGTCGACCGGGGATCGAAACCTGGACCATGTGCATGGTCGGTGAGCGTCATAACCGCTGTGCCACCGACGCACTGGAACTCCTAACTTGACTCAGGAGTAACAGCTCTATCGGTCAACGCTTTGGAAGAGAAATTAGATCTCTGCAGAGATGTATATTGCAAGGATTAGCATAGGTAACGAGAGCCCTACATCCGTATAATCTGAATCTGACTTCACTTGAATACACAAACTAACGAGAGGAGGAGTCATAGAACACCAGGTCCTTAGCATTAGTGTATAAACGACGTATCTGAATACTTATCCCCCAGATTTCCACCAAACTAGCTACACTGGATAAACAATATAATGCATTTACTGTTTAACTGCTCAATTACAATTCCAGTTTATCCCTGCGCATCTTCTGAAACTTTCTGAGAAAGTCAGAATCCCCGGTAACGTCATTATTCATCAGTTTAACTAAAATTACATCAGAATAGAGTCAAATCAAACTAACTCTAATAAGTTAACTGGCATCCAAATGGCCTATCCCTTTACAATCGCATACACCATTCAGGGGTAGACAACTAAATTCGTCGTTTGACTTGTTTACATTCCCTCTCACCTTACTCTCCTGACAACTTTAACTGCACCTATTATTATTATTAATATCATTGTTACCGATATATATGTATATAAATATAAATATTATTCATATTATTCTTCAAATTTAATCAGCTGACTGTTGTTACGTTTTCTTATTCTTTTTCTGTCTGTTAGTCTGAATAACTTCACTAATTATATCTATTATTATTATCTCTTTTCTTTTGACGACGATACCGGAGGACTAACTGGTGAAAGGATCAACTCCATTCACAGTAGTAACAGTCTTAACACACCTCATACTACAAAACACATATAATCCCAGCACTACTCCTTTTGGAGTCAACCAAAGCTACGACAGTCGAGTGGCGGGACGAGCTACGCAGAAGTTTACCGAAGATCAGTAACCTATACCTCACAATCAAGAGGCGAGCACAAAGAAATCAAATTGGTTTATACTAGCTCAAAAAAACGACATTGGATATTGGAAGGAAGTGTGATGAAATTCATCTAAAATCACAATCACTTACCGACATCCTTAAGACAATGATTGTATAACGAACCCCAGCTAGCATTTTCTTCGGGCGCATTGCAGATTTTGAGTATTTGACCCGAGGTCTGCCCCGAAAAGTCTGCAATGCACCCGAAATCATTGCTGGATTAAAACGTCGGCAGTTTTCCGAACGAAATTAGGCAAAGTTGGAAAAAGTGAGCTGTTTTCGGAATCAACACGGGTAGTGTTCGTTGAAAAATGAGTAAACTGGGACAATAAAATTTTTTGGGACATGGCGAACGGGGAAAAATTGGCCAATATGTGTAAAGTGGGTAAATTATGTAGCATTTTAACCCCTTTTGTTCACGTCTTTGCGGATCAAAATGACCCATTTAGCCCACGTTTTGTCCGCATTACCCAGGTGCATTCTCTGACTGGGAGGTATTAAGCCTTTAGCTTTTAGAACTATAGTGCCATATATATATGGCACTACAGAAGAGTGCCAGTACTCAACAGCAATATGATTTCTTCTTGGCTTTTGAACTCTCCTGCTATATCCTCTAAGGTGTTCCGACCTGGTGGGAAGGAAAAGAGAAAATAGGTCAGGTCCGTAGTCATTATTTAAAATTTTAAACATTGTGATTAAATCTCCTCTCTGCCTACGGTATGACAAGGAGAAGAGATTTATACTGTCTAGTCTTTCCTCGTATGATAAGTTAGTCATGCCATGAATCATACGTGTTGCTTTCCTTTGAACCCTTTCTAGAATAAGTGAGTCCCCTTTTAGACAAAGGCTGGCGGCCTGGATGCAGTTTTCCAGTCTTGATCTCACTAGAGATGTATATAAGGAGGTGAACATATCTCTGGTGATTCTAGTGAAGGCTCTACGAATTGCCCATAATGACCAGAAACTACGTGCAGCCACCGCGCGACAGTGTGCTGTAGTTTTTAAGTCGTGGCTAACTATGACACCTAAGTCCAAGTGAGTCTGAACTGATGGAAGTGTAATTCCCTCTAGTTCATAAGAGCTAGTGCTTGCTTGTCCAATGCGTATGGTTGCACATTTTGCCACGTTTATCGGGAGCATCCATTCTATGGACCACTCTGACAATTTGTTGAGGTCCTCTTGCAACGTGGACGTGTCACTGTTGCCCTTCAGCTCTCTCCAAATTTTTAAGTCATCTGCGTATAGGACCATAGGGGAATCGGTGAGCAGAGATAACTCATTGATATACAAAATAAATAGATAGGTCCAAGTACCGTGCCTTGTGGCACTCCGCTGCGTACTGCTGTCCAAGAGGAGAGTTTCGAGTTGATCCTAACCCTCTGCCTCCTATCTATGAGGAATTCCCTGAGCCAGTTTAGTAAGCTGCCTTTGATACCAAGACTTTGCAACTTCATGAGTAGTCTTTTGTGAGGTACTTTATCAAAGGCTTTGCTGAAGTCTATTAAGACGACGTCAACGGGTCTTCTGTTGTCCCTGGATTTAACCCAGCTTTCTCTTGCAGTGAGATTTGACAGGCACGAGAGGTTCCTTCGGAAACCATGCTGTGCTCTTGATAATAAGCTTCTATTTTCTAGATATGCCATTATGCTTTTCTTGATGATTCTCTCCAGTGTCTTAATTAAAGTGCTGGTGAGACTAATAGGCCTGTAATTTGAAGGGCTTTGTCTTGATCCTCCTTTGTGGATGGGGGTTACTATGGCGTCTTTCCAGTCACGCGATAACACTCCATTTTGGAGGGAAAGCTTGAAGATCGTAGTCAAAGGGCCGGCTATGTGGGCTGATAACTCCTTGAGAAGCCTTCGGTGAAGATTATCAGGACCCATTGATTTCCCTGCATCTAGTTTCCTTGGGCAGTTGAGCACGATGCCTTGGTCGATGTCAACGGAATCTATCCCATGTTCTTCTGATGCAGCCAGAGCTGATTCTATAGGCAGTGACGACTCCTGAGTGAAGACTTGGGAGAAGTAGTTCGCCATTGCTTCTGCTTTTTCTTGATCTTCTTCGATTGTATCATTGTTAACAGTCAGGTTTTGGACACCATTGGATGTTTTATTCCTGAAGTTCATGTACGAGAAAATTTTCTTAGGTTGTGCCTTTGCATTTTGAGCCAGGTGTGCTTCGAATTTCATCCTTGATTGGCGGATTTCTGCAATAGCTTCATTTCTAGCAGTGTTATATAATTGCCTGGTCTCAGAAGTCTCAAGTGTGGCAAACAAGTTCCAACATTTGTGTTTACGTCTAAGTAACTAACGAATCTCTCGGTTTATCCAAGGAGGGTAGTGTTTCCGACCCTTTGGGACAGACCAAGGGATGAAAGGTTCAGTTACTTGGGCGTAAAGTTGTTTAAATTGGTTCCATGCGACTTCTACTTGAGACCCTGGGTTGATGTACCAGTTTACTGAGTTGGCTGCTGAGACGATTGCATTTATATCAGCTTTCCAAACGTTTGGTCGAGATGGGGTTTTGGCCCTTGCTGTGAACTTGAAAGTGAGCACAGCATGGTCACTTCTTCCTAAAGGAGGAAGATGTTGTATGAGATCTACATCCTCACCATGGGAGAAAACTAGGTCCAGAGTTGAGGAAGAGTGCTGTGAGTCATAGCGCGTGGGCTTGATGATATGTTGGACTAGAGCTAACGATATACTAGATTCCAGCAGTTTATAATCAAAGGAGTTGACTGAGGATGGAGTTGTTAGGCTCGTCCAGTCAACTGTTGGGGCATTGAAGTCGCCAACTACGAGACTTCGACATTTCGAGGTCCAGGAGCCTAGCTTCTCTATCAGGAAGTCATCTGCACTGCAGTTAGGACTGCGGTACATAGCAATGAGGTCAATGTCTTGGCCTATGCATTTAAGTCTGCAGCGTAGAAGTTCGCACGACTCACTTTCGTGAGCGAGTGCTTCGATACTACGCACGGTTAAGCATTTCTTGAGGTAGATGACTACACCACCTCCTTTGCGGTTTAGTCGGTCCACCCTATGCACTTCGAAGTTTGGCAGGTTAACTTCGCTGTCAGTGACATCGGGTGTGAGCCATGTCTCTGTGATAATAATTACATCCGGGTTTCCGGAGTCTATCATGTTAACCAGCTCAGTCCGTTTATTTAACAGGCTGCGGGCGTTTGTGTAGCAAACTGTTAATTCAGCTTGGTGCTTCCCCGGCCTACCCACAGAGGTTTCGGGATCATTAAACTGCGAACTTGAACAACCCGAAAACCCTTAATCTTGAGGTTCTTTTGGCCGTTTCGGCGTCGTTCGCTTAATTCTAGGGCCGCAGACTGTCTTTTGACACGGTCTGCCAGGCTTAAGTCGGCGCGGACATATATGCCTGATCCTTTAAGTATATGAGAGTTGCTTAGAATAACATCCCTCTCTTCTTTAGAGTTTAGTACGACTTTGAGGAGACGTACAGGCTGACTTACTGTAGGGTCAGGCTTTTGGCCTATTCTATATACACTAGGTATAGTGATGCCTGATACTGTTTGTGGCAGTAGCTTGTCTAAAAGGGGCTTAACCAAGTTAAGGTCATACTCAAATCTAGTCTTGGGTTCGGGGGCCAATGACTCTTCCACTTTGTGGAGAATGAGCGACCTGTCAGAGAGATCAGGTTTGCTTGCCGTGGCTTTCTTGCTCTGCGGCGTGAATGTCTTTCTGTCCTTCGTGGACAGTGTGGCCAATGTATTGTCCTTATCTCGCTTTTTGCGAGAGACTACGTTACGCCATTCATTGGCGTTCTCCTCACTAGTCGTAGCAGGATTTATCTGCCTGCTACTCACCGGTGTGGACGAGGCCTGATCCACTAGTACCTGGGTGACTTGAGTTGCAGGTTTACGACCCCTGGTACGCCTCTTCTTTGTGGCAGTCTTTCCGTTACTGTCACTGGAGGGCTTATCCAGTATCGTGGGGGCAGCCTGGGTGACTGGAATGTGGTGAGTGCTCTTCTGTGCTGAAGGGCACTCAGTCATTGACAAAGACTCATTAGGAACACGTACTGTTCTGTCGATGACGCTAGTCGCATCTTCGGTGTCTGAGAAGTAGTCAGTCTTCTCCTGTGATGGAAGACCCTTGCAGTCCATGAGCTTTAAAGCCCCGCTAAGAGTGGCAATGGCTTCCGTAATACGGAGTTTGGTAGTACTACAACAGCCATTGCACAACCAGTTTGCTAGAGGTTTGCAGCAGCATTTGTATGCTTCAGGAGTTAGGTTTGTGCACATACTGTGAAACCATCTCTTGCAGTTATCACACTGCATTCCCTCATCCACTGGGAGTTGGCACATAACCCTTCCGCAGCGGTTTTTTGATGGACATACTGCCTAGAACAGACTGGCGAAGAAATTTAAATATAACTTAGATGTATATAGACCTTTATGAATCAGCGATAAAAATCAATGAGTGCACAAATATATATATATAACTATTATGTTATAAAACACAATTTCCTATAATTTAAATAGACTCAGTTCTGAAAAGTAAACTAACTTTGATCAGAATAAACTGATTTAAAGTTAATCTGTAGACTTTTGGAGCGTATAACACAAGAGCGTGTAAAATTCACTCCTTTTCAAAGTTCGCGCGGTAGTTTCATTCACCAAGTAAAAAACAAATTCTAGTTATGTGGACTTCAAAAAGCCCACAAACTCGCAGCGTTTCTCTCACTAGCATGCCATCATCATACATTTATGTTGTCTCCACCACGACAGAGGATAGCGGCACAAATGGCTTATGGAGAGGCTGAGCACTTGAAGGTCACATATGCACACTGTGATTGGTAGACTTTCCTTTGCATAAACGTTGCGGCTAATATGTGTCGTACATTACTGAAGCGGGCTTTGAAATAACAATAATAAAAGCGAATAGACATTATATTTTTTAGCTTAAGGGAACAAGTTAACATGTGTATAAATTTCACAGATGTAATAAGCCTTTGATCCACTCACAAGGAGAATATTACTGGCTAACTTAATCAAAGAAGTATAAAGTTTGAAGATTTTATCTCTTTCAGTTGGTTGTAACAGATAGATAAGAGTCACTTGTATAATATTTGCTTTTTACATAAGAGAAAATGTAACAGGTGATTTGGAAGTTACACGATTCCTGAAATCTATCGTGGAATATATGGAAGACTAATCTATAGAATTTCTCCAACTCTGTGATTGTTCCCTCCCTTGTTCACATATTCAGTGTAGCTAAGATAAGGAATTGTTCACCAGAGGTAAGATGAATTTATCTGATATGTATCCATCCTCAGATATTTCTCAATACGGTCGAAGAAACACAATGTCAATCTTTACTTGAAAAGTTGTCATCCAGTTTCTCCGAACGGATCTGGTGGTGACGGAAACTGTAAAGACTGGTCGAACGTCACTACCAGCGGGGACAAACTGATACCGATGTTGCGGACAGAGTGTTTGGTGAACTTATGATGACTAGTCATCATAGCTATGATGCAGCTATAAAAACTACGTCGCGCGCGCTTTGAAAAAGGAGAGTGGCATTTTGGGCGAGGGTATAGGCTATGACGGTTTAATTTCTCCGCGCCTCAGGTTTTCTCGTCTTTCATTGGCTGGAACAGTGGTGGCTAATTTGATATTTAATTTGTCCTTGTTAGGTGATGTCGTTGCAGGTTTGCGTGCTTGAGGTATGCGTTGTTTACAAGCATATTTGATGAAAATAAATGTAAAATTTGAGTATTTTAACGTTTTCTTTTACTTATTTGTGCATGTACAAGGCTTAGCTTATCATACACTCGGTTTGTTGGCCTATCGGTTGCTGGCGATGTCAAGGAACCCGTGAGTTCTTTGGCTTTTCTCGATTTTAGGTTATACGTGTAGCATTTTATCGGTGGATATTGCTCAGTGATGTATTTCAATGTTGCTTTTTCTACGGAATTATATTGAAACAGTCGTGAGTCAGATGGACACTAATTGACAAAGCCTTTTTAGTTTATTGCAGGTAGCCAATGCGAGTGAGGGCATTATTTATCCTGTAATATTGTGTGCATAATTCTATTTTTGTTTACTCTTCCACCTTTTGTAGTTAATAATGTGCTGCATAAGTGTCAACGATGGACATGGTCTCGCAACTCGTGCGCATCTGAAAGCGGGAGAAGTAATCGCACAAATGGACCATTTTCTTAATATGTAAACAAACTAATGTTGTATTATAATAAATATGAACTTTTCATGTAAATATTGTTGTCTTTCAATTCATGTATTCGCTTTGTGAGCACGGCATGCTAGACCGGTGCTCCCTAGGACTTGAACTCGTTACTATACTTAAATGTAATTCTGTAGGAACACTATCGACCGATATGCGTGGTGAATTATAAGTAGTTTAGTGGCACTAAAGTCTCTGTCTACAGTTACGTGAAAACGTCTCATAGTCATACGCAAGTCTGTAGGGAACAATGACAACAATAGGTAGAACTTAGGCACTGCATTGCAGTTCCAGTTCGTATACGGTTAGGTGTATTCCAAATCAGTGTATTACTAATATTTAAATTAAAGCGTTATGGCAGTCCCTATGATAACGGGTGTTAACGTATACTGTAAAATTAAGTTTACATATAACGAATAAATAAGTAGGTTGAGCTGTAGCAGTCGTAGTAACATTCCGCTTACGTTTGATTATGCAGTCAAACAAATCATCAAGTATCATTGATAAGTCTGACATCTGCATCTTTTCATGCAAAAAAACTTAGTTTCACTCAGATAGAATAGGAAAAGTATTGTAAGCAGGATGTTAAATCTATTTCGTGAAAAAAATAAGCAAATGTCTTTACACAATTGTTTTTCGTAATTATTTCGCCCATGTTGAATTGCTGTGACCAAGTTGACTGACATTACCGGATATCTGTAAATAAGTGAACAAAGTGTATGTTTTTAAATCGCTGAAGTAAGGAAGAAGTAATGTTAAAGTTAAACGCTTTAAATTTCCATACCTTTGCTGAAAAAGGTTCATTTTCCTTTTTCATTCTTTGGTGATGACAGCATTCTTCTGTATTTTTTAATGTCACACAGAGATTGTTCGTCTAATACAGTATAGCAGCAAGCAAATAATAAGTGTTAACTAGTAAACCATTCACAATGAACACTGTACAGAAAACTTCATCACATCTTCATTTTAACCAACTTTTCCTTCACGCACAGAAGCATGCAGTCACTACATACACTCAAGCATTGTAACCTGAACATCACAAAATCCCTATAGATAACTTCTTTCATAATAAATGATTTAAACATATGAGCCATAAGTGCATCTTCCATATCCTTTATAGCCAGAAGTAATTCATTAAGGATCTCAGAATATCTTAGTGATCTGAACACGAACGATTGTTAAGACTGGGATAACTTATGTAACAGGTGCAGTAGTTGTAGGACACACCTGCTAGCTACTAATCGACAGAAAATTGATACTAATTTTAAGTAGTCTGACATTTCAGGAGGACCATCTGCAGTATTCTTCGTAACCCCATGCACACTGATATACACATAATCTGATGCCATTTTTGACAATGAACAATTAAAGCCTTCTGACATTCCAAGTGCAAATGTCAATTAAACTAGTATCATATCTTCGCCTAAGCAATCTTAAATGGGAACTTCATCAAAGTAGATATAATCACCAGGAAATGCAGCAGCCTGTCTCATTCATTGCATGATCTCTTCCATGTGCTATGGAATATTTCAGTCATCACAGATGATAAAAGAAGTGTCTGACATCCTCAAAACACACATCAAACTTATGTCTCTAGGCTATTTCTCTTTCAAATGCACGATTCTCATAGAATAACTGGGATGACAACAGCCATTGCCTGCAGTCAATTTACAACCTTAAGATCTGAAACAACTCACAAAAAACAATGCCTAAATGCTCTAAAACCCTAATAATGGACTTTTTATGCGATATTTCTTCAAAATGATGACTTTTTTATTAGTAATTCGTCTAGGCTGTCATGACAATTTTACGCATTACTACGAACACAATACACAAAAATATTGCATTTTTCGGCTACAGAAGCCTAAAACTAGTCAAATAGAATCTATTTTCACAATACTGAGCGGTTAGAACGTCTCTATAGGCGTGAACGCGATAACCCATGCAATGCGCGAAAACACCTTATCATAGAACATAGCCTCACTCGGCATTTTTACGTTGTGAAGTAAATTCTGCTTTTGTTGTTTAAACCACATCAGAAGCATTTTAGTTCACTTTAACTGATTTATTTAGTTGAAGTGTTGTTCATATTATTCACAGTTTGTGTTTTGTTTGGTATTTACGCTTTTTTTCACGTACATACATTTGTGTATTTGGTTGGTATTAACCTCACATTTTTCACGTACATATATTTATGTTGTAGAAACAAATTAGCGCTATGGGTCCGAATAACAATTGTGGACGACCGGACTGCCACTTTCCGGTGGATGATGGTATGCAGTGTGACAACTGTAGCCTATGGTTCCACAAGGTTTGTACTGGTTCGTCACCAGTAGCCTATAAGAGATGTTGCAAGCCATCATCTCCATGGCTGTGCAAATTTTGCAGCAACCCATTAGATGTCCTCATCCAAGAGGCAGTGGGACTCCTGATGTCCAAGAAATTGACTAAAAACGTAATCGAAAAGCCTGAACCAGAAATCCTAGCCAAAAATGGCGGTTCAGGACATAATTTTAGAACAGAATGTGTATCGCCACCTGGAGCTCAGGAGCCAAAAGAGGCGCAGAGTGTCCAAATATCTATTGCGACAAAGCGCAAACGACAAAGGAAATCTAAAAGGGCAAGTAGTGCCAGCATGGCAACACCAGCCTGTGAAATGGCCACCCCAAAGCGCAGCGTGTCTAGTGCACGAATGGCCTCTAGTCGCGGCGAAAACAAAGTAGAAGAAACTGACTCCACTTGGTTGGTGCCGACAGGTAAGAAGCAAAACAAACGAAGGAAAGAAACAGTTCACCAACAATGTCCTCCACATGGAACCTAAAATTCAGCCTTAAAAAATGTGGCTGGATCTGTTTCGGTGCACCCTCAATAAATATTAAACTGGTACTTGAATCTCTTGACTTGCCTAAACTCCAAAGTGTTGTTGACCTAGGACTCAAGTAATCTAGTGACCTGGCACTTTCTGAGCAAGTGGCCACACAGACGCGTAAATCGAGGATGCTCTTAGGATGCATACTCAGGAATTTCCACAACTACGAAGCGAAAATATTACTATATAAAACTTGTGTCAGACCACTACTTGAATATTGTCCATTTATTCTCAGCAGCACTCGCGTAAGTGACAAGCTTAAAATAGAAAATGTCCAACGATACTTCACGTCTAAAGTACTAGGATTTGACTGTGAAAAGGACTACACATCAAGGTGTATAACTCTAGGTATCGACCCACTCTGGATGAGACGACTGAGCATTAACCTAACATTCTTCTTTAAAATCTTGCATAAAATATCAGACAGTAAGGAGATACAGTTCTCACCGAAAGGCTCTTACAACCTTCGTAACCAAACGTGCACAGTATCTAGGAAGAACTGTAAGACAGCACTCCGTGCAAACTTCTTCATAGTCATGTTCTCTAAGATCCGGAACAGTTTACCCCTAGAAATAAGGACCTGTCACTCTATCATAACCTTCAAACGCTTGCTATATAAACTGCTTCATCCCAATGACTATGCCAGTCAGACCGAACCACTTATTTCTAAAACGCATGAG